TGTCTCTCTTGAAGTTCAGAGCAAAAAGAAGGAGGGAAATTCTGTAGTAGACACCTTGGGCACAATCCTTCTCCCCTTCCTTTCTTCTCTGCTCTTAGCCTACACCTTCCAGCTTCCTTGGGCAGTGCCAGTCCATGTACTTTGGACTGCAGCTCCTGGGGACAGGGGCATCTCTGTTAGCTGCAGAGCACAACCCCAGCTCAGACCCTGGGAGAGCAAGCAGGCTGCATTGACGCAGAAACTGCAGCTCAAGGATTAGGTGGGCAGCAGGCACAGGACCTGGCTGGTGTATTGGGGAAGCTCAGCAAAAGCAGCCCCGTGGGCATTGCTCCCTGGCCAGCACTTGCCCTGTGTTCCCTTTGGTTGTGTCCTTCTTGGTTTAGACACATATTGTACCGTGCAAACGCTGTAGCTTGGCTCCTCCATTGGCTCTTTTGGCAAGATAGATCTTTCTGTTCCTATCAATTCATGGGCATGTGATAGGACTCGATGGAAAGTGAGGTGAGGCTAGTAATTTGACGCGACAGCTGATATTGGGCCTAGACTGCATTTTCCACTGGCCAGGGCTTAGCTTCACAGAGCTTTTAAGAGTATTTTTAGTCCCCAGAAAATAAAAGAGAAACTAAACCTGACTTTGTGTGCTGTCGCCTCTGCATACTCGGCTATTTTTACTTCCGACAGACTCGGCCTGGGTCCAGCTTTTAAAAAAAGCTGGAATTATTTTACTTCCATTAAGAAAAAAACCCCAAAGCCTGATGTTATCAAGTCAGCCAAGGGGACATCTGATCCCAAAGTTGTCAGGCAGACGTCTCTCCGAGGGGCATGTCAGAGAAATGCAGGGAGCTTGAACAGATCAGCAGATCAGCTCTCCCACTGCAGAAGCTTGGTGCTGGCACAGACATCTCTGGAAGAGCGCTTGGAACACGAGTGGCACCCACAGGACACTTAGAAAACTGACATCCCTACCCCAGGCACCATGCTGAGCCGAAAAGAAGTCCTGGTCTTGCCCTCCTCCCTGCTAGGTCAGAGGGGGCTCAGGCAGGCTGGGGAGCTGAGAGCATGCTGCCGGTGAGCTGGGACTCAGTCCCTGTGGTGGACACCGGGGTCAGTTCCACACCTAGGTCAGACAGGGTGGCAGGACTCTTATGCAGGGTCCCTCAAAACGTAACAAGATTAAATGAACAGCAGCACTTCTTGCAACACAAGGGAGTGGGAGGAGAGGGGATGTTTCCAGCACAGATAGCCTTCATTTGTGAAGAAGCAGCTGCCAGAAAGGTAGGTTATCAAGGGGTGGTACTTCCCAAACTTTGCCCTATACTGTTGCATCTCACATTGTGTATGTGAGCTCTCCCTTCTTTGTTGCTCTAGCAGCCCCTTCTTCCTGATACTGCCAAGAAGGGGCATCCGGGAGTGCCTGTGGTGGTGGCAGTTTTGTAGGATGAGTACTTTCTCTCCTGGGAACTGGCCAGTTGGGATCCATGTGAGAAATGGGCTTGTGCAGAAGCTGGAAGGCAACTACTTTCTCTTGCTGCTGTCTTGTTGTCAGGCTGTGGCACCAAATCCTATGTAAGAGTCTTCAGTACAGACCAGCTGCGTCTCGTAAGTGGCTGCTGCACCTTGCAGTTAAAGCTCAGGTGGCTGCATGTTTGGTGTCAAATCTGCCCTTGGGGTTACAGTTACTGCTCAGCCTTCCTCCAGCCATCTCCCTTCTCCTCATACTCTCTCACTTCCATTCATATCTCAGTTTACATCCCCCTCCGTTTCTTCTCTGCTCAGTACTTTCCTTCATGCTGCTTCTCTGAGCTCGCCCACTGCACTTCCCCACTCCATTTTAATGTCCTTTAGTGTCTCTCTCAGAGCTGCATTGTAACCAGCCTGCCTATCTTAAAATCAGCCACTGAGGAAATCAAGTAGAACAGCCACCTGAATACTACAGCTTAGTACCAGGTCCTGATTTTTGGCTATGCCCTTTCCTTCCATCTAGCTATGACCCATTAGGCTGTCAGATCTTTGGGGAAGGGATTTTGCCATGATGCTTATGTCTGGAGTGTCACAGTCAGGGACTCAGGGGTTGAAATGCTTTTGTTTGCTGTAGCACCTGCAGGTCGCTGCGCTCAGCAACTGGCGCTGGGATGCGCTACGTAGGGGTCAGCCTATTCACCAGCTCTGCGGCTGGAGCGATGACGACAGAGTAGAATAGTGGCTCTGCAAATGCTGATTGAAAACATTTGCCTCAAGGAGTGTCACGCAGGATGGGGAACAAGAGGAGGACAAACACTTGTTCAAAATTAACAAGCCAAAGTCCTTGGGCAAACAGACCTCTGTCTGCTCAGTGAGGGAAGGAGGGATGGAGGGTAAATCTCTCTGTGCCTCTCTTATCTTTTTTTAATGCACTTAAGTCCTTTGTGTCCTTATAATCTGATTGAGGGTCCCTAATACTGCTGCAACCTGTGCAGCCATCCCTCTGCCAAGCACTGGAGGATGGCATGCTTCTCCTTGGGAGAAGGAAACGAGCTCCTTCCCTCATTTCCTCCCTACTCCCCCAGTCCCCCCTCCCCGCTGCTTATCAAACTGCACGGCGAAAACATCCTGGAGGGCTGTGTGTTGGTTTCTCCTGGGCTGAGAATGGTGTCTCCCTGCAACAGTGATATCCTGTCCACTGCCGTGAGGGAGTGGACCCCCTTTGACCCTTCTTCTGCAAGGGTCCTGGGGAGCTGTAATTCAGGCCTGAAGTCCTGCAGCCTGTTCTGGATTCCTCCATAATCTTTGAACAGTGTATTCCTGACCCTTTTAGTTTTCACACCTGGTTACTTGGTTCACTGGCAGTTCCTGAAATTTGTGTCTCTCCCTCCTCTCCTGGCTTATAGGTAGGTGTCATTCATTCAGCAGAGCATGGAATAGAGGTGGTCTTTCTTAGGAAACCAGGGCACATTTATAGAGGGAAAGAAATCATGGAGGGAATGAAAGTTTCCTGCTTCATCCAGAACTTTATTAGTGCTATTCCTCAGGGATGTCCCTAGATAATCTCAGGTTTGGGACTTCCTGGCTGCCCTTTCTGAAATCACTCTCTGGAACGTGTTGGGGCTCCCAGGAAGAAGTCTTGCCCACAGACTACCTGCTGCTGGAAATGGAGGTAAAAGAAGCAATGATGGGCGACGTTTTCAGAAACAGTACCATGTAATGGAGGAGAAAGGAGAAATGCTTAGGGATGTCAGTGAATTCTCCACACAGAGTCACAAATAGAAAATGGGGCAGGGGAAGGAAACTACGCAGTTTGATCTGAGTTCACCTATGTGGCTTCATGTCTTTCTCTCCATCTCTCAATGTCTGCCATCCTCCCACAGCAGCCACTGCCAGCAGCAGTTCCTTTGCTCTGGAAAGCCTGCTTCTCCTGCTCAATGGGAGCAGCAGGACTCCTAAAAGGAAGCAGCTATATAGCATTAATAACATCATGCCTATGAGCCTCTGTCCCCACACACAGATAATGCCACCTAGACCTCCATGTGGGTGTTGCTACTGCCAGAGAGATCTTGCTGTCGGACTGTATAACTGAGTGCTGTTGGCTTGATTGGTGGTGGTTATTCTTTGCTGTTGCGGGGCTGTTGGTACTGTCTGTCAGTCAAGCTGGTTTGGGTGCTCCAGCTGTGAAGAGTATCAGGACCTAGATGTCATGGCAATTAACGGTTTCATGTGGTGCAAGTGGGGCTGGTGTGAGCATTACAGTAAAAGCTTTCTCCTTTCCATGACATAGTAAGCAAATGCCATGAAACGCACAATGTAAGTGACAGACATGTGCCTCTTTCTGGGGTAGAATGTTTGTCAGCAGACTGCACGTTTTTTTCAGGTGTACAAGTTGTTCAAAAAGCATCACTTCAAAACTGATTTGGAGTGTTTGCTTTTAGATGTTTGTGTTTATGCAGTGGATTGATTGCAAAATATTAATGGCTTGATGTGATTAGTAAGTGTATCACATAATTGGTTCCTGTGATCAGACTAGATAAACTCCTGTGTGTTTCTAAGGAAGTACTTGTATAGTGTAAATTCAAATTTTTATTCTATTCGAATGCTCCTACATTTACCTTGAAAGATTTTTTTTGCAATAGCTGTTTCTCCCAGCAAGACTGAATTACTCCAATTTCACAAGAACTGCTTACCAGAGATGATATGGCTGGCCAGAAATAACTGACAATTGGACAAATATCTATGGCTTTTTTCACGATTTGTTTTTAACATTGTATTTTGTAGTGACACAGCAGTTCAGCTGCTGTTCCTGGTCTATTGATGCTGCTATGGTTTTTTGCATGGTGACAGTCATTGGTGTTTCCCAGTCACTGGGAACTGTTTTCAATGTGCTATTTGCAGTTTGAGTCACTGTATTTTGAAAAAGCTGCAACAAATTCTTCAGTGTCTCCCTACTTCAGCTTTATCATAGCTTTATTATAGTAGAGGTTGTGTCTATTTGTTTGGGTTCTACTTTTATTACAGTTGCCTTACTTGAGCAAGGCTGAAACATCTTTGTTGAATTCATAGTCCATAATCTATTTGCTATAGGTCACTTTTTAAAAATATAAACAGTGAGAGGTCACAGAACATTTAACTTCTCATTTTTAAGAACAATCTAAAAGCTTATTTTTATAACCGCAGGTTTGATTGACATTTAAAGTCTTCCTTTCTAAAAGCAAGATCATCTAGAGGGCATTGAGGTCTGAAGCTTTTCATTTGCCCATCAGATTGATAGTGATTCAAGAGTTTGAATGGGTTAATTTCTGTCTTCATTAATGTTTTGAATAAAAGTAAAGCTCACAGCAGCACGGTTAGAGCTGGAGGCAGTCTAGCTGGTATTATTGGGATTGCTGGGTTCAGCTGAGATCTCAAGTGTTTGGGAGAGGGAAACTCCCTGGAGTGTGGGGAACATCTTACTTAGCAAATTTTAGCATCTGCTTGTCAAGGTTCCCTGTGGCACTAAGGAATCATGAGGATTTATCTTGTTTTACCTGCAGGTGTTCGTCTGGATCGAGTCCGTGGAGGCCGCCAGAAATACAAAAGGAGACTGGATTCTGAGAGTAGCACTTACCTGAGCCTACAGATCCCTCCCCCAGCTAAAAAGCCACGTACGTATTGGTCTTGAATTGTGGTCCTCTAAGCAACCACTGTGTTTCTTTTTATTGGTCTCCCAAAATGTACAATGGAGCAGTTGCCACTTCTGATTCCCCTATCAGTCACCAGCACTAGGATTTTTTTCTTATGATCATAGAGCAGAGGTATATTAGGTACAGCTCAGGTGCTGTATTCATTGTACCTAGGGTTAAAGACCAGACCTTTCCTAGAAGATTATGTAAATCAATTTAGCGATACTCTGATCTTTTCCTGTATCCAAGCTATGTTAACAAAACCGGTCCCATGCTGATTTCTCTTCCATACTACCCGTAGTTCTCTAAACTTTTCCACATCCCACCAAATGATTATTCATGCCTCCTCCTCCCCTTGTTGGACCTACCTGAGACAATGGCTGACAACCTTACAGTAGCTTCCTGCTTTTATCATCCCTGTACAGAGCTGGTTTGGCATAGGCAGATCACTACAGCTTGTGTAGCTGCAGTGTAGTCTTCCCCTGTTGTGACCGAAACCATTTCTGAGGTCCTATGGCGACTATAGTCACGTCTTATCCCAGGAAGGTCCTTCTAGAAAGGGCTGTTACGACTCTTTACTGTTATATGTCATGAGAGATACAACAACAACTTCTCCTTTGAAATGTGCAGTGACTAAGATCGTCTCCCACTTGCTGGTGGCTGAGCCAGAGAAGATTTATGCCATGCCTGATCCAACCATGCCAGAGAGTGACATCAAAGCCCTGACAACCCTCTGTGACCTGGCAGACAGGGAACTGGTGGTGATCATTGGCTGGGCAAAGCACATCCCAGGTAAACAGGAGGAATTTCAAGGATGTAAGCATGAACAGCAAAGGGAACTATTATTTATCACTGTGCTTACCAGTTTTGTCTTCAACCAGGATTTTTACATATAGTGATGGGTGGAAATGGCTGTCACAGAAAACTGCTTGTGGTGGGTCCTCGATGGTAACAAACTCCAATATAGCCTATGGTGTAGGTGCATAAATTGATGACTCTATGTGTGTGTGCCCTGGAATTGTGCAGAAGGCTTCGAGACGATATGATAAAGTTCTCAGTTGTACCTGGCATTCAGTGGCACAGCGAGTGAAAGTGCTTGGGAAACAGGCCTTGGGATGGTGTGGTGGACTTTAGTGATTTTGCACTGCATCAACATGACCTAGGTCTGTTGTGTGTATAGATGAATAAATGTTACAGCAGTGACTGGACTTTACTGCTAATGACATGCCAGTTACCCACCCTGTCTGTAGTGGGCATTCTTGCCCAGACTCAGGAAAGCTTTTGTCATACTGGATTCATCACAGAACAAGTCCCATTGGGTTGGAGGACATACTCACTATTGTCAGTGAATCTCCAGGCTTCTATGTTGACAAATAATGAGGACACCTTATTGGCAATGTGACTAGTCTCTGAAGGCTCACTGACTGTAACCAATTAGGGTGCCTGTGCGATTGAGTGACATAGCAAGTGTCTCGCACCTGTAGGCAGGATGGACCCAGGCTGAAGGAGCAGACATGGCCCTCAAGGGGGTTCTGGGGACAAAGATTTGGACTGGGAAGGGAAAATGCCCCCTCTCTCTAGTTCCCTGCACACCTCCAAAAAAGATTGATTGGATGTGGGTGTGGAGAAGGTTGGCCAGGGAACTTAGGGGATGTCCTTGGGGTTTATGTGGCTGCTTTCCAAAGACTGCTTCAGACGCTCATATGAAGAGCTCACTACAGCTATCTCCTGCCTTCTGTCCCCCTTCCTTGTGTCAGGAGAATATCTGAGGCTCAGCCACAGGATCACAGGATTTAACCCATATTGCACATTGTCTGTGTCTTCCACTGCATGGGTGTGTGTTCTCTTGCTTTGCTTCTTGGCTTTAAGTTCTTCCTTGCTTGGTGAGGCATCTTAGCATGAGTGATCAGACAGTTTAGTTCTCCCATGTATTTTGCTTCTCTTTGTACCTCCTCTTTTGGCTTTTTGGTGGCTGCTTCTCTTTTTTCAGAGGGAGTATTTCTTCTGTGACTCAAGAGTTAGTGGTTTCCTGGGCTATATGTAGTATGGACTGTTATGTGGTAGGACTATAAAGCCTGGAGAAACTTTTTCGGGACAGTGTTTCTGAGTAGAGGTTAATCTCAGTGGTGCCCTTCTTACATGAGATCTGCAGTACCTGCAGGGATTACACCCGTCGCTAGTGCTGGAATCCATCTGGGGCTGATTCATCACAAGTGGGGTTACAGTGGCGATTAGGGAACTCAGCCTGGATTGCTCTACTAACCCAGTACTTGGGGTGTTAACAGGAATGGTTTTAATGCAATGCAATTAACTGCTACAGCTGCCCAGTGAGGTGCTGTTGTATGTTCTTCTAACCTTGGCTATTTCTGTTCACGCAGGGTGCCCTGCTGTAGTTCCCTAGCTTGCAGGTGTGGGATGAGCGTTGGATGCTCAGCTCCGAGTTCCTACGGAGTTTTCCAGCCTGCCATGGTGATATTATCTCAGAACAGGAATATAGTAGAGATACTCCTGCACTGTGAAAGGGGCTCTTCCTCTCCTTTCTGAGGAAGCAGGACATACCTATCATCATCTCAATTGTCTCTGTGTATTTTCCTTTCCTATCAAAGGCCCTGCAACATGGTAACAGCCATCAGCCTGGCACAGTTCAGACCAGCAGCAGTATTGTAACAGGACTGTGTGTACAGGAGAGAGCTCAGGGATTGTTACACAAGGGAGCAGTACCAAGAAACAAACATAATAAAAGACAGTTCATAAAAATGGAACAAAATATCCTATAGTTCTGAAACAAGCATGAAACATACTGAGTTAGGCAGCAAGGGGGCAGAGCAGGGCAGGGCCAGGAGGCTGCCAGGTGTCTAGATTATCCATGCCCCGTATTTCTGCCTTCCAAGGATTTTGAGCAAAACAGGACATTGCTTCCTGTGTGCATGAACTCTTGGACAAAGAGAAATGGAGAAAGGAACAAAAGTCACATATTCCTGCCTTGTGTTCACACTGGAATTGGTTAGGAACAGTGTGACCTGAAAGTCATACCAACCCTTCAGGATCCCAGGTGTCAGTACAAACTTTTACTCCACAGTGTTAGCAAATAAAATCAGTTAAGCTTAAAGACACTTTCCTATGATAACAAGAAAGCATGATTTAATGGTGTTTAGCAAATTTTATTAGCTCAATAGCCTTATTAGCCATTAGCTCAAAAGCCACGTTTAGCCATTGTGGAGTTGTCCCCTTCTGTATGAGGCCCCCTCTCGCCACTACTCATCCTCCCCCCTGTGCTAATTGTCTTTGAACAACATCTACCTTTTCTGCGTGCCTTGGTGCAGGGAGACAAGACTTCTCTCGAGGGGTGACGATGAAGACTCTCCCAGGGTAGCTGTTGTGCTGTTCTCACTAGGAAGACGATAGTACTAGCACAGAATGAAATATGGCAAGTGGAGTGACAGCAGCTGTGTCTGGAGTGGCCTCAGATCCTATAATTACATCTCCCTTTATTACCTCTGCTAATGGCCCTCCAGGATGACAGAAATGATAATAAATTAACAGATTATGAACTCCACTTGCCACAAATTATGTGACTCTTTTTTTTTTTAATTCTGGGAGCTCCCACTGCCAAACCACTGAAATAAAAAAAAAATCACAAAAAATAAAAAACCTGAATGTCACATCAGCTATTGCAAATAAAGCAGCTTTTCTCAACCTCCACCTGGGAAGGAGGGAAACGTGCATGCAGCTCTGTGCTACAGACAGAGGCTCCTCTTTTGGGAGCCTAGGGATGGCAGTGGAGTATTCAGCACCTTTCAGGATAAGACCTGGGAAAAGCAGCAAGAAACAGATCACTAAGGGCACTTTCTGGATGCAGTGCCATCAAACAGCTCAGGAATGCAAAAGGGCTGGATTCTAGGAATTCCTGGGAGCTGTAAGACGGCAAGGCAGTTGAATTTCACAACTCACCAGTGTTACAAACAGTGTTACAAACCTATAATAGCAAACCTGTGATTTTGGCCAGGTCAAATTAGCATTTACCTTTCCTGATCTCAAGTTTTATAGCATGGGAGACCCCAGGTTATATGATCTTCCCTTGTCTATGCAGACTGCAATGATATAGGCACAGTCCTCCAACCCTTGCATTCTACATGTGTAAACGCTGGAGGAAAAGGATCCCAATTCTGTCAGACATTTCAAGTCCAGGCTTGGCACTGCAGCACTCCCTCCCTCATGCCTGCCTGCCGGAACTGGAGTTGTTGGCTACCTTGGAGTGCTTCTGGCAGGGGGCTTTCCCAGGTGGGTAGGGTAATTGCAGCTGGCTCTTCTGTTCTCCTTGGCACAGGGTAAAGCATGGTCTCCCCTGTGCAATTCCCACCTGCCATAACTGCCTCTGGAAAGAGGGATTAACAGAGATGTTGGATGTACAGGCTACTGCTAGGGTTAAGTCAGTTTTTCTACTTTATTCTCTAGCAGAAAAGTGTGAGCCATGTCTGTCCTGAATCCTCTCACTCTACTACATGACTGTTTCTCAATCTTTAACAAATTTCATTGGCAGACCGCAGTGAGGCGATGGCATAACGCCTTTTGTAATCCAGATGGAATGAAGATGCAAAAAGGCCACGCGACTGACCCAGAAACTGGACTTAAGGCAGCAGCCTAAATCCTGGGCTGTTCTTCATGGTCAGAGCTAGGAGAGGGTTGACAAAAGGAGAGATTCCAGGTGCTAGAGACTGTGACAGTGGCTGTGCACAGCACCATTACCCCTGTCTCAGGGCTAATCTCATCAGTTCCCTGTGCAGCAAGCAGGAGACCTGGGGAGACAGGATCCCAAGCCTTCGAGCTGCATCAGCCTGCGCTTGGACTCAGTCAGGAGGGCTGCATTCAGGAGCAGCACAGTACTGACTGCAGGAGGTAAGGGGCAGAAGGGTGAGGCAAAGGATGAGGCACCCCTGAAGTACTCACAGCCCGAGCAAGGGGTGGGATTCACCAGGTGCTGGGCTACATGGAGCACAGGCTGTGCTGTACAGGAATCAATCTCACAGTCATGGAGCTGGATTTGCAGCTCTTCTCCCCAGTAGCCTGGGCTCCTCTTTAGCTGTTCCCTCTGGCACTCCTCCCCAATGGTTTATTGATTCTTCCCTCCCACCCACTGCTCCCCTCAGACCTTGCACACACAACACGTGACAGCTGATTGGTATCTGTTAATTAATGTGGCCTGGGGCCTCTTTTCTATTCAGTGGCCTGATAAGGGAAATTGGATGTCCAAGGGCTGCCAGGCCATTATCACCCTTTGCATCCCCTGGCAACACAAACACAAAACATGGCGTAGTGATAAATAAATACCACTAACCCACCCTTCTGCCTTCCCTTCCCCAGCTGAGATAGTGCAGATAGAAAAAGAGAACCCACAGTCAGTCAATATAGCAATCATCAGCTCTTTTGTTAATTGCCAACTTGATAACAAGAGAAATCAAATGATCATCATGGTGGCTGGCTACCTAGGCCCCTATACAGGGCCAAGAACTGTGAGCAGGGAGGGCTGTGGGATAGAGGAGTTCTGCTGAGCCTAGCACGCATCCAGCGGGACTGGGAGGCTCTTGGACAGAGGCTAATGAGCTCACAGGCTTCTTGGTGAGCCCCGAGGCTTAATAAGTATCTGGGGAGAAAACTGGCAGGGGAGGCTGGTGGAGCATTGCCCTCCCAGCTTGAGGGCTGCCTGGGTGTCCCATTCTCTCACAGCTTGGGGAACCTTTAGTCATGAGCTGCCAAAAAGCACAGTCCCTGCCTGTCAGTGGTGGGCAGGAACCGCCTAGATGGGACCAACACACTGTGCTTGGCATCCCTGTCTGTAATGGCTGTTGCACAGTGCCCATCTCCCAGGATCTTTCATGGTCTGGCCTTCAAGGGTACCTGGTACAGAGGGCGTAACAGACACAGCTTTCCTTCCATGCACTTTTTTCCCCCCCTCAGGACAGACAGTGCCTCTGTGTTTTGGCCTCTCCACTTTCTCAAGTGGGCTCTGGGGCTGTTGGGGGGTGTCTATCTCCAGATGGTGATTGCTCTTTCTGTATTTGAGGAGAATGACTTGGTTCACTGCTGGGTGCTGGTTCCATTGCTACTGGGTTTGGCTGTGATTTAGGTACTTGTATGGTACTGTAAAGATGTTTTTGACACTGGCTAGGGTTGTTGGCTGTGAGATGCAGGAAGCTGATGGTGTGGAGCTCAGGGAGTGATGAGGAATAGAAGCGGATTCTGTTCACAAATGTATTCAGCTTTTAAATACATTTCAGTGCTCTGTTGTGGCAGGACCTTTTCTCATGTTGGCGAAAATGAGAGACTGTGGTATGCTTGTAATTCAGGCCTGTGTCATTCCCTCCTATCCCATCAGAAACCCTCTTTTCTGCCATCTGGAGCTCTTTGGTCAGCTGGGGCAGACGAAATAGGCTGCAGTACAAAACTACAGAGGAACAGTGAGCAGGACAATGTGGTACAAAATAGTTGCTGCTATAGAAGAAGCAGTGATTATTGAAAAGAAGTTATTATTAACCTTGGATTGCCATAAATGCAGTCAGAGCATCAGGACTCCTGTTTGAGGCTGTGGGTGGGCATGGGAGCAGAGAGAAGGGTAAGGTTCATGTGTGCTGATTGCCACAGAGACAGTGTCACTTTAGTAAGCTTTGGGGTTTTTTTTGAAAGCAGCAGGCCAATGGGGGAGAGTGCTTGCGGTGAATCCCAGGGAAACTAAGGACCCCAGACTCCTAGAGGCTTTGCTGCACACCCATTTGACCCTGCTTGTCTTTTGCCCTGCCAGGGTTCTCCAACCTCTCCCTTGGGGACCAGATGAGCCTCCTGCAGAGTGCCTGGATGGAAATCCTCATCCTGGGCATTGTGTACCGCTCCCTGCCATATGAGGACAAGCTTGTCTATGCTGAGGACTACATCATGGATGAAGAGCACTCTCGTCTGACGGGGCTGCTGGAGCTCTACCTGGCCATCCTACAACTGGTGCGCCGCTACAAGAAGCTCAAGGTGGAAAAGGAAGAGTTTGTCACGCTCAAAGCTCTGGCCCTCGCCAACTCAGGTACAGCCCTGGCCCAGCCAGCCTCACAATCAGGGAGTCAAGGCCCATGCTGTTATCTGGCCTGGGAGGAAACTAGAGCCTACTGCCCGAGACTGTGTGCTGCCTGTGTCATGCAACATCCTCAATGCTCCTCTCTGTCCACAGAGCAGGACCTAAGCTGGAGAGCAGGGAGAAATGAGGCTTGCTGCTGCTAGAGCCCCAGCTGTGCTCTGGCCATGTATTAGGGAGTGGAGCCAGGCAGGGATGGGCTGGCTGCTGGTTTCTAGCAGTAAAAGAAAGGCTGTGGAGCCCTTCTCCACTAGCAAGCTGACTCCAGTGCCATGAGTTCAGAAAAGGGGATGTGGGCCACGCCTGCATGCACCTCGGTAGCGCTGGTCAGTTACAGCAAACAGGGAAACCCCGGTCCCAATTTCAAATAGCACAAAAAGCTGTGGGATTGGGGCTGCCTGGTCCTGCCCTGGAGATGTTCAGTGACCACAGACACTGAATCCCCTTTTAACTGGGAGACAGTGTGGATCTGGATGGTAGAGAGTAAGACATGCTGGCAGGAGCCTGATGTTGCCTGATCTGTTTCTTCTTGTGAAGAGGATGAGAAAGGCCACGGCCCTCAGCCCAGTGCCTTGCATCTCAGTCTGGGGAGGGCTGCAGCCCTCAATCAGCAGGCTGTGGGAGACACAAGAGGTGATGTGTGCTGCACTGATGTTGCACAGAAGCCAAACGTGTATTTGCTCACTAGTCCCTTCCGAAAGGGAAACTGCTAAAGCTACTGTGTGACGAGGGCTCCCTCTACATCCCTTGAGTCTCATTGTCTCACATCAGATCTTGCCGAACTGCATCGTGCAGGTCACAGAATTCACCCTTGCAGCCCAGCAGTGAGTCCAATATCAGTGTTTGGCTAAAACTGCCTTCCAGAAAGACACCCAGTGTGAAGCTGAAGGGATTAAAAGAGGGGGGAATCTACATCTTTCATGGTAGCTGACTCTAATAATTAATCATTCTCTCAGTTTAAAAATAAGAAGAAAGGCACCATATCTTTAACATCAGTTTGCTTGAGTTCAGCCTCCAGATACTGGTCTTTGTTGAGCTGTGTCCTATGACCCCAGGTCTTTTTACACCTGACAGCTTGACACAATAAAGTTCCTGTTCCATAGTTGCATTCCTTGGCTATAGATACATTACTTCAAGTGTAAGCAAGTGGTCCAGAATGCTGTGAGGCGGGCAGCCTCATTGTCTCACATCACCCTATCCTCACCATTTTACACCCTTCTGTTCCTCTTTGCCATCCATACTTCTTAGCAGCAGCAATTTAAAAGAAGAAAAGAAAAATTACTTACAGCTCATTGATAAAAACGTTGAATAGCATCTGTTTTTTTACTGATCCCTGTGGATTTCCACTAGAAAACTCCTCCTTCAGGGATGATTCACCACTGATAGCTACTTTGAGGTCTGTCATCTAGCCAGTTACTAATCAATTGAAAGTGTGCTTTATTGATATTGCATAGTGCTAATTTTTTAATGAGAATGTCCTGTGGTGCTAAGCCAAGTGCCTTATAAAAGCCTAAGTCTATTATATGTAAGCAGTTAACTTTATCAACCAAACTTGTAATCTCATCAGAGAGTGAAATCAGGTTTGTTTGACAAGACCTCTATTCCAAAGTATCGTGTTGACTGGCAGTAGTTGTAATACCATCTTGTAAGTCTTAATTGAACTTCGCTTTTTTTTCCCCTTTATTTTGCCCTGGTTCACATCAGGCTAGCATGGACACTATCAGATAAGACCTAGGAAAATAAGTGCATCATTAGAACTTTTCCAGTCATCTTGAATTTCTCAAAAATACCAAGACTTGTTAATCATTAATCTGCCCTAGATGGGCCTCAGCCAGCAATTTTAGAACTCTTAAAGCCAAGTTGTCCAGTTCTGCTGATTTCTGTAAAGTTTGTCCCTAGCAGGTGTCTAACATCTTCTTGCATAAACAACAGACTAAGAAGTCTTCATCATCTTCATATAACACAGGTACATAATGCTCCTTTTGTCTAAACAGGACAGAAATATGCACTGAGGACTTCTGTCTCCTCTGCACTGCTATTAATAGTTCAATCATCTCCAGGTGAGAAGAGCCCCCCTACAAATGGTCCTTTTTCTTCTATTTCTTAAATATTTATAAAACGTCTTCATTGTCCTTAGCCCTTCCAGCCATGGATTTTCCTCCAATGTCCTTCACTTCCCTTATCGATTTTCTACACTTCATAACTTCTGATTCATATAAATTGCTATCTGGTTCCCTTTTACAATTTCTCATATATTGCTTTTTTAGCTCTAATTGGTGCCTTTACTTTGCCACTGAACCAGGATGGGCAGATGGCCAAGGCTGGCCTCTCTCTATTGTGGGACGGTGGCTTTTGGCGATGTAATCAACTCTTATTAAAGAACCTGCCTCCTGTCTACCAGGAAGGTCACAGAATTAAACAGGGAGAAGGGCTCCTCAGAGAGGCTGAAGTGCTAAGGTAGTGGTTGTGACAGGGTGACAAGGTAAGTGCCACACCAGGACATTTATCTGGCCCATGCTATGAGGAGAGACAGTGCAGGACCTGAGCCTCGGTGCTGTCAATTTCCTCACGGTGTAACAGAAGCACTCTCTGCTGATGTTGCTCCCTGTGCTGTCTAGACTAAGCCCAAGGTAAGCCTTATGGGACAGTCTGCATCAGGAGTGGAGAAACACTGAGCAAAGACAGAGCAGAACAACCAACGCTCATCAGCTGCTTTGGGGTTCTGTTTCCAGCGCTGTGGAGTAAAGAAACCAAGGTAAGGGTCAGGAAGCACAGGCCAAAGCATGTTCTCAGCTGGATGGGAAAAGCCATTCTGACTTCACTGGTTTCTCCTAGTGCAGCTAGAAGCGCAGCTATGTAGGGGCATAATCCACAAAAATCCTGCTTTGTTATTCATACTGAAATATATGAAAGTAAAGCATGAGATCTCGTTTTTCATGTAATTAGAGCCTCTCACAACACACAGATAAGGAAGCTAGAATAGGGCAAGTGTATTTTTCTAATGTGACCTTCACATTAAACCTTCACATTCTTTAATATAAGTTATTTTTCTGTGTGTATTTTTGACATGGAATAAACTTGCAGAGCCTGCATGTATGTGCTTGCATGCAAACAGCTGATTCCTAAAACGGTAGGAATGCAGACTACCTCTGGGCCAGACCTCAGCTCCCTTGGGTCAGAGACAGGGTTTAAAGCTGAGCACTTAGATTAGCACCTGTGCTGCCTAGACCTGCTTTCTGCCTTGCCTCCCATATAGATAAATTCCTGAATTTCCCCTATCCCTGCTGGGTGTAATTGCTCATGCAACCCAGCTTCTAGGGACTTTCCTCTCTTCCATGCAGCTCTGTGTATATTGACCCTTTGTTTCTAGGAATTAAAACAAATGAAAACAGAAGTGGGAGCTCACTTGCTCTTTACTAGAGGAGAAACTGACAATAGGCCGACCTTGCCAGAGCTGTGGCTGATCTCCGAGTCCTCAGTGTAATGCACCAAGGACACACCTGCTGGGACTGGCAGAGACAATTCAAGCGAACTCTGTCTTTAATAAGTGCATTTTAAAGAGCTGAGAAATGAATTCTTAATGCCCAGAACAGCAGGCAAGTCCCAACAATATGATCACTCATTTTTTGACAGAGTAGGGGTGCTGTAGAAGTAACTTGTTCACTTCAGAGCCAGCAGTCCCTTCTTAGGCATTCCTAGGTCCTCTTTCCTCAGGAATACAAATTGATCAACCTGTGTATTGAAGAGCCCTCCAGGTTAGCATACAGCGTATGTTCAGTTAAGGACATCCCAGACTGGCCAAACCTTATTTCCCCTTTTTTTCCCCAATGCATTTGAGTGCTGAGATGGAGTGAACACGGTCTGGATCTAGCAAGGGGATGTATAGCAAATTCTGTCCTGACAGGTCCTGTGAGGTCTCTGCTCCTCCTGCTCCTGCCAGAAGCTGCAAGAAAAGAGTTAGGTGAGGAGGCAGTGGGCCTTGTCCATTCTCACACCTGCCCTGTACCCCGTGCCAGCAGTGCTGGAGAAGGGCTCCTGACGTGAAGCCTGACTTCTAGGCCAGCTGACCCTCAGGGACATGGTCAGGCAGCCTCCCTCCACCTCAGTGCTCTGGACAGCTGTAAAAATTCATAGCTATTGATTTTGTAATTAACAGTTTATCAATGCCATCGACACCAGTTCACTGATGGATTGCAAGGAAATTAATCCTGCAATGTTATTTTATTTTTCGCAGTCAGCTGCCAATTTTGAGCTTCTTTCAGCAAAGAGTGGGGGGGTGCGGCAGGCTTTGATCTTTATTTCCCCAATTCCTCTCCCTTTATACGTCATTATTTAGTGCTGTTAAGTCTCGTCACCTTACAGAAGTCAGGTGGCAGAAGGGCACAGCTTTGGCATTCTGTCTACTGTACAGCAGCATCAGTACCCAAAACCAGAGCGCCCACTTTCACCTGAAGCATGGCTCATTGCCTGGTGCTTCTAGCATCCGCTGGGATCTGCAAACTCTGATGGGCTGTGATTACTTCTCCCCTGTGTGCCCCTAGCCCGAAGGACATTAAACACAAAGGCTGGAGGACGTTTCTCTCCAAGCTCCAGCTCTTGACGCTTCCAGTCTCCAAAATGACCTCTGCAACTTGGCAGGAAACAGACCCCACTCACTTCTCCTGGATGGTGCATGGAAATTTTCTAGAGGTGCTACCTGGCTGGGGCAAGTTGCCAGACTAACTTGGAAACATGCTTCTCCCTCCCTACTTTTCAGAATTGACCTCTGTGGCCAGCTCAGGTCACTGTGATGACCTACCAGCCCCTCTCTGAGCTTCTTTGCCTGGTCTCTTGGATACAAAAAGCAAATGCAGCAAGAACAATCCTTCCTCAGTAGGCTTCCTGGAAATACAACCCTTTAATATCTTCTCATTAGTGCATTCCTTCTAAACAGCTTCTTAAAACAGCTTTCTTGCTAGACATGATTTTTTCCCAACTGTTGTAATACTTCATAAATCATGCATCATAAATAGCATTTACTGTACATGTATCTTATGAAATTCACAGTCTCTAATTTGTGTTGCACTCTCCATAGAGATGACACGTATTTCTAGAGAGATTTTGGCACTTCAGCCAGCTTTCCTCCCCTTCGCTGCTGTCACGCTGAGGAACCCCTGTCCTCAGATTTGTGTTCTATGTGTGTGGGCTGAGCCAGAGCACTGCCACACTGCAAAGCCCAGCTGCAGTGGCAGACGGTGCAACTACATGTGTGCACGTGTGCTTGCCGTAGTATCCCTTTGCTGCTGCCTCTGGATTCATTGCCCTGTGGCAGGAATCTTTATCAATGGGTTCAGTATCAATTAAAAGTCTCCGAACAATGACGACCAGGGAACACTGTCTCCAGCTCTGTCAGGGTTGTAAGAAAGAAGCAAGTATCAGCAGGATGAAAAGGAGAAAAACCTTCAGTGGTGCCGTGCCTGGTTAGCTTCTCTAATCTAACCTCTGCTCTTTGGTGCTGCCCTCTGTCACCATGACTTACTTACCCACAAGTTTAGCAGCCTGTGTTCAACTCAGGTTCCCCAGCTCAACCCTGGACTGGGTCAGTACTAGCTGCCTTTGCCTCAGAGACACACCAAGGAGCTGTGCTAGCCTTGCAAACCCTGCTAGCCCCTCCAGCAGCTTGTAGAAATCTAACTGGCAGCCTAAGGGAAGAGGCCTTGCAGGAGGTGTGCGTTTCCTTTACTGAAGCAGGAAGCTCCCCAAGCAGCTGCTGGCAGTCTCTGAAAACAGGGACATATGCACAAAGGTGGGGCTGGCAACACCCCTGGGCACACTGGTTGTGACCTACTGGGGCTTTTCTGTCTTGCTGACACCCTGAGCAGCTGCATGGCAATTAGGCAGTTTAGACAGATGAAGCGCTATAGCAGTGTTAATTATTCTTAATGAGATTGCTCCCAAGCGGCAGCACAGCAGCTGCTGCCCCTTGCAGGGTGACTCTCCCCATAAGGAGCATGGAGGGCAAGTGAATGTGCAAGTCACAAAGGCTCCCGGCTGACCCCTGCACAGCCCCAGACCCCTGCCCCTGGCTGGCAAAATGGGCAGCGCACAGGGCACAATGTGTCACCTACCCCTGGCAAGCTTACTGTCCCTGCGCTGCTAGCGCCAACTCGTTGGGCTGAGGCTGAACTTCACAGCAGCACCGCCAACACCTGCCAGCAAGGTCTTTTTTTCCCCTAAAGAAACAAAACAACAACAAACACACACACACCCCCCAAAAAAAAACCAAACACCCACCCCACCCCACCCCCCCAAAAAAAAAGATAAAAGAAAGAAAAGGAAAGAAAGCATCTTTAGCTTCAGGACCATAAGGATTTCCTTCCTCACGTCCGACTTGTCTGTTTGCTGTCTTTTCTCCCTCCCCCCAGACTCCATGCACATAGAGGACATGGATGCAGTGCAGAAACTCCAGGACCTTCTCCACGAAGCCCTGCAGGACTACGAGCTGAGTCAGCGCAACGAGGAGCCCCGGCGAGCAGGCAAGCTGCTCCTGACCTTGCCCCTCCTGCGGCAGACGGCCGCCAAAGCTGTGCAGCACTTCTACAGCATCAAACTGCAGGGCAAGGTTCCCATGCATAAACTCTTCCTAGAAATGCTAGAGGCAAAGGTCTGACAGCCCCAGTGCCAGCCGACAGTGGCCGGGGAACAAACTAGAAACAAAGATTCAGACAACGGAGCAATCCAAACAGCAGCAGCAGCCACCGCCGGCTTTTATCTCCAATCATTTATTATGGAAGAATTATTTAATGTCTATCTGTCGGCGTGACTGCAGAAATCTCGTGTACAGGAGGGGGGAAACTCTTTTAATCAGTCACCTGTTTCTCTTTTTTTCATTTGTTTTCTCTGTGGGAAATACCAGAATATGCTCTTGCACTTGTTGAGGCGGTCAATGGGGCTCAGCCCCTCTGAGCAGTGATGCTCTCAGCGCTGCCCAGGCCGCCTGCTCCCCAGCTCCCTCCGCCAGTGCTGGAGGGGGAGTGGGGACAGAAGCAGGAAGAGAGGAAGAATAGAGTCAATATAAACTTTATCTGCTGGTGTTGTGAGGGGTCAGATAGAAAGAGAAGCAGCCAGGGTCCTTCTTTTTGTCACCTTTCTGACTCTAACCATAGAGCAGATGCTCCTTTGGAGAAGAGTGCTGCTGGACCTCTCCTGATTAAAACAGCTGCTTCCCAGGCTCCTCTAGCGACAGCTAACACTTGTACATACAGGCCCCATTTCTCACTGGGAAAGATGCTCCTAACTGTGTAAGATATTCTGCGACCTTGTACAGTGTGTCATTACGCCTGGCTAGTCCCTCCCATGTACAATCCCCGCAGGCCCCTGAAGAGGTAGGATGTATGACCCTGAGAGAATGCAAGTCTCCTTTCCCAGATGGCAAGAAAAAGAGAAGAGCCTGATGTTATGCTTCAGTGCTGGGTTGACATGATAATCTCTGCATCCTCTCCTATGTGGTGCTAACTACAATTCTTCCACACTTTTCACCCCATAGTATATCAAACCTGCCTCTTCAGCTCAGCTGAGTGCCATTCCCCACTTGTTCCTTGTGGCAGAGAACACAAGGCTTTGTCTGCATGGTTACTGCCCAAGTATAAATACACCCCAAAACAGGGCTTTCCTAGACTGCATTAAAGTGACTAGCTCTTTGCCTCCAAAAAGATTTAGGCTTATTGCCAAACGCTAGTTAGGAATCAAGGGCACTGCTTTTTGGAGGAGGCAGCTCTTGAGCCTGAGAGATTGCTTTTTTGTGGCAGCCTAGGGAAATAAATTAGAGGGTGGCATGAAACCCCCGATATCTCAACAATTGTCTTCCCCTGCCTCATCCCATTATCCTCAACAGCAGCAAAAGAGCTAGCATAGATTATCCGTGGGCCTGGTAAGAGGTTCTCTCACTGATGGGAAAGCAAATAACTGACCTTGAGGTGGTGGGAGAAGTGGGGGAATGTTTATTTACTCTCTCATGTAACCAGTTTCCTGCTGTCTCTAAGCCCTGGTTTAGATTTGCTGCCTAAGCCACAACTGCTGCATTCCCAGTAGCCAGAGGGGAATGTGGGTTACTTGACAAAACTGGCTGCTGGCATTCTCTGAGATTTTACTTTCTAGGTCACTTAGTTTTGAGCCAGCCTGAGCTGATGAAACCTGAATGCATTGTCTGTTTTGTGGTCAGCGGCACGGGAGTAGAGGTGAGAAAAAGCCTCAGATCTACATTAGAGACACCACTAGCTCTACTGCCTCTGTTCCCCTCAAGCTTCCATCCCTTCCTGGCTAGCCCAGGAGAAGGGTGGTGTGGCAGAGGAGTAACTTGTCCCCAGCAGGCAGCCTTCCAAACCGGGGTTGAGGCACGTGATCAGGGAGACACTGGGTGCTTGTTTTCTGCTGGAGCAGAATGTGTCACAGCAGGGCTGTCAGTGCTGCAGAACAACGCCCAGGCTAGCTCAGCGACTGGGGGTGCTAACTCATGCTGACCTCTCAGCTCTCTAGCCAGCTCGCTCCTGGTACTTGAGTTACTTCAGTTC